GATTCGTGTTAAAAATTTATGTCGTGTTCATCATATTTCCATTCTTGTTTTGCTTGAACCCCTTATCCCTGCTTCTAGGTTGGGTAATACCTCTCGTTATCTTGGCTTTAACCATGCTATTTCGAACATGTCTAACAAAATTTGGGTCTTTTGAAAAAATCCTATTAAAATTGATATTATTAGATACTTTATTCAATTTATGCATTGCAAATTGAGGCTTTTAATTTTCATTGTTGTGCTTCTTTTATGTATGTTGCTTCTTCTCTTTATATTAAAAAGTTGTCGTGGGAATAGCTTATGAATTTTCATAGTATTTGTTAAGTGCCTTGGATGGTTGGAGGTGACTTTAATGCTCTCACTACCCCTTCTGAAAGGATGGGTGGGTCAGCTCCTTCATATCGTTCTATGTCTGACTTTAATAATATGATCATGTCTTGTAATTTGATTGATATTGGGTTTGTTGGTAATAACTTCACATGGAATAGGGGTCACTATGGAAAAGTCTTGATCGTGTGCTTTTTAACGATTCTTGGATTAATCCTATTAATCTTATTAATGTTCATCATCTTAGTAGAACTTTATCTGATCATTCTCCTTTGCTTATCAACGTTAACAGTAGTCAAATTAATGTTTTTTCTCAATTCAGATTTCAAAATATGTGATTACTGAATAATACCTTTTTTGATGTTGTCAGTTATAATTGGCAAGCTCCCTTACATCCTGATAATTCTATTTTGGGTATGAAAAGGCTTTAGTTCAAGCTTAAGAGGTTGAAAAAAGATCTGAATTAGTGGAATCAAAATGTGTTCAGAAATATCTTCTCTAATATTCTTCAAGCTGAACAATGTGTGGCTTTTAATGAAAACTTATGTCAAAATGACCATAATGATGCTAAATTTTCTTTGTTAAACAAGTTTAAATTTGATCTTTTTAACTTTCAAGCTCAGGAAGAGGTTTTTTGAAAATAGAAAGCTGCTGCTAAGCATTTGGTTGAGGGTGACAGTAATACTAAGTACTTTCATGCTTTAACTAAGAGAAAAAGGATTAAGAATAGTATCAATAACATCCAAAGAGAGGATGACATTTATTCTAATGACAATGTTGAGATTGCTAATTAAGCTATGCTTCACATTAAAAACCATTTTAATAAAGTTTTTACTTCTACTCAGGCTATGGACCACTCATTTATTTCCAACCTGCTATATATTGAGGACAATGATTTTCTCTCTAAACCTCTCTCTTTAGAGGAGATTAAAGATATTGTGTTGGGGATGAATAGTGATTCTGTGGCGGGTCCTGATGGTTACATGACTCTTTTCTTTCAAAAAAGTTGGCATATTATTTATGAGGATATTTTATTTGCTACTTTGGATTTTTTTTCTGGTAATCCTATTCCTAAATTTTTTACTTCTACGTTGCTTATACTTATTCCTAAAAGTAATTCTATTCAAACGTGAAATAATTTCCATCCTATCAGTCTTTGTACTTTCTTTAACAAATTGCTTTCTAAAATTATATCGAATCATATTTCTTCAATTTTACCTAAAATTATTTCTTCTTATCAAATGGGCTTTATGAAAGGTAGGGCTATTACAGAAAATATTCTTTTGGCGCAAGAATTAAGTCAATATTAGTTGAAATTTTATTTACTTTATGCTGAATCTTTTTGGATTTAACTCGATGCTCATTAATCTTATTAAAAATTGTATTAAAAATGTTTATTTTTTATTATTCTGAATGGCTCCAATTACGGTTTCTTCAACTTTTCTCATGGTTTAAGGCAGGGTGATTCTATTTTCCCTGCTCTTTTATTATTGCGGCTGAATTTCTGTCTACAGGTCTCTCTAATTTATTTGAAATTAATCCTGGCCTCTATTTTAGAAGTTTGGGAGGCTTTCATATATCCCATTTATGATTTGCTGATGACTTTATTATTTTTACTAATGCGGCTATTAATAGAATTCAGAATATTATGGATTTTTGCAATCTTTTTGAAATGGTTAGAGGACTTTCTTTTAGTAAAAACAAATGTTATTTTATTACTTCTAAAAGGATTTCCAATGATCATATTGTTGGGGCTCGTGAATAGGTTGTTAGACCTAAGCTATTGTCCCGAGGCTAACCAAGAGGGGGGGTGAACAAGAGGGGGGGGGGGTGAATTGGTAATTTAAAATTTTACTTCTACTCTTGGATTTTTCAACTAGAGTAAACAACTTTTAATTAAATTAAATGCGGAAGAAAAATAAAAAAGAACACACCAGATTTATAGTGGTTCGGTCAAACCTTGACCTACGTCGGTTTAGACCTAAGCTATTGTCCCTAGGCTAACCAAGAGGGGGGGGGGTGAATTGGTAATTTAAAATTTTACTTCTACTCTTGGATTTTCAGAAAACCTTTTTAATTATTAATGCAAGTTAAATTTAAAGTTAAAAAAAAACTTTTCAACTAAAGTAAACAACTTGTAATTAAATTAAATGCGGAAGAAAAAAAAGAAAGAACACACTAGATTTATAGTGGTTCGGTCAAACCTTGACCTACGTCCACTCCTCGGAGGCACCCTTCGAGTATTGAACTAATACCATAAAGTGACTCTCCTTTTGCCCCCATAGCAAGGAAGAGAAGCCTGTACAAAATCACTTTCACCTTTCCCGGTGCGGCGGAGGAGCTGGGTCCTTTGACACCAAAGAGATCTTCTTCTTCTCAAAACTTCCATCAAGACAACCCTTGAATCCGATGGTACTGAGGTGCAAGTTTGCCAGAGCAACCGTGTGAATATTCCCTCCACACTCCCTTGAAATCTTCTCCAAGGATCTTCTCCCTCTCAAACTTCACCCCTTCCTCTCTCTCTTTCAAGCTCTCTCTTCTAATTTTCTCTAAAAGAACGAAGACACAATGACTGTCAAAGATACACTTATCGTCCTTTTACACTCTCTAAGTGTCGGCAGAGAACCGGACCAATGTTGTTGAACTTCACTTGAGAGCCTTCAAAGGAGATGGGCAGAAATAAAGAGATCTTAGCTATAAGTAACCTTGTGAATCCCTCACAGACCCCTTATTTGATCTCTAACTCTTCACTCATACAATCTCTCCCAAACACTCACACTCAATGATCCCTCTCAAGAGAAAATAACTCTAAAAGAATTTGTAATAGTTTCTAGGACTCCTTATATAAAAAGGATAAGAAAAAATGCTAATTTTAAGTTTTTCTGCGCAGTGGATAGTCTCGCACGAACCTGAGTTAGTCCCGTACGAATCATTTGTGAATCCGTACAAACTAAATTCATCCTGGGACGAAATATGTTCATCCTGGGATGAAAAGTTATATCAAAGGTCAATTCCAAAAATTGCAGAACGTTGCCAGAAATTGCCATAGTCGGTTCCCTTTATCCTGGGATGAATTCAGTTTATCTTGGATGAAATTTGTCTAGAGAACAACTCGTCCTGGCACGAATTCACTTCATCCTGAACGAGATTTCTTTAGCGGGCAATTCATCATAGGATGAACATACTTCATCATGGACGATCAAGACTTAGAAAAATTTTTCTTCAGTTCCTATTGGTTCCATTGCTCTTACGAGGAGATCACTGACCTGATTGTCCTGTACGAACTAGGTTCGTCCCGTACGATCAGTACAAATTTTCCAAAAAGTGTTAAGAGATAACTACACATAAAATAATAATATTTAGAATCATAAAAACCAAGGCTTTTAAAACCGGACCGGTCAATGAACCGGAAGAAGGAGGGGTTAGAGGTTTGATGGTTTGACCGGGGTCGAACCGGGGTCGAACCGGATGACGTAATAAATATTTATAATATTTAAATATTATAATAATGATACAACTATTTATAAATATATAGCAAAAATTGAAGAAAATTATAAATATGAAGTATTAAAAACAACTTTACAAATTCAAAAATACAAAACTGAAATTCAATAACAAGACATGCACATACCTGCTTCAGAAATCCAGCTCTAAAAGCTCTTGTCACTGTAAGTTCAGCCTCTCATTCCTCACTGAATCCCAATTTCAAACATCATGAAAAAATCTATTAGCAAAGTAGATTATTCATTCATATGCTTACGATGCCCTGGCTGATTAAATGATATATTTTGTTCTTCAATAATTGGTATTGCATTTTCTTTGTATATCTCATTTTCCAAATCCTGTAAGTCAAGTTCTGGAGTTGTTTCATCTTCAAGTATCCAAAAATCAACCATTTCAACACAAGTGTAGTCCAGAGGGTCATAATGTCTTTTTTTCAGTTGAAACCTAAAAAATGAACAAATAATTTTATATTAAGATTATACATACTACTTGACACTTGTACATAAATATTAATTTAATGTAAGATCTTACCTATTCTTTAAATTCAGATTATACCGAACATATACAAGATCATTGAGTCCTTGATGCTCCAAATAATTCTGTCTCTTTGAGTGGATCTGTTCAAAAACACTCCAATTTCTCTCGCATCCTGATGAAGATGATGTTTGACTGAGAATTCTTATAGCAACTTTCTGTAAGTTTGAAGCACTTGATCCAAACATCTTCCACCACTCATCTACATATTTTCAACTTTGAAGATTTAGTGAATAAGCATATTTTTATAACTATATACACATATTGAAAGTAAAAAAAAGAGAATTAACAGGTTGCATTTCTTTCGTCATTGTCAGTGCAATTGGTTTAACAAAGCTTTCTTAGCCATCACAGAATAGTCTAACTTCATTCATTGCAACTGTGGGCTTAGAGCAAATGTCTTTATTTCCAATTACTCAACTAGACCTTGTAAAATTTCTGCCTTTTGACAATGATTCTCTCTATCAAACTGAAAATGAGGATTGAGAAAATATGTTGCTGAATGGATGCTTTGCCTTAATTGAGTATCCCATATTCTTTTTATTATTGTAGTAAAAGGCTTATATGATCTCTTTACATTTATGAACATAGCTTTATTTGCCTTCCTTGCCCTGTACATGCCATCATATAGATATCCAAGAGATATTTTTTCATCAGAGTCAACAATACGCAACAATCTAATCAAAGGGCCTGATATCTTTGAAATAATAAGACAGTTATCCCAAAACTTCAAGTCTAAAACAATTGAAACTACTTCCTTTCCCTTTGAGGTCTTGGATATCTTCGAATCCATAAAAAATTTGCTTGTGATGAGTGCTTGTAGGTCATGATGATGTTCATGCACACTTTTCAAAGTTATGAAGGTTGTTGCAAAACGGGTTGCTCCAGGTCGTACAATCTCCTTCCAACCTGGCCTTCTCCTAAGCCATGCAAGTATGAATATGTGATTATAACAAAAAATTGTCAACTTTGATGCTTTTTTTGCTAGCTCCTCAATGAGAGGCAAGCTTCCAATATCCTTCAAAATTAAATTCATACAATGTGCAGCACAAGGTGACCAATAAATATTATTGAATCTTTCATGTAACAATTGCCCTGCCTTCTTGTAATTAGCTGCATTATCAGTAACAATTTGAACAACACTTTCAGGACCAACCCATTCAACAATCTCAGTAAATAAAGAGCACAAAGTGGTAGCATCCTTTGTGATGTCTGAAGCATCAATTGATTTTAAAAAAGCTACACCACGTGGACAATATATCAAAAAATTGATTAAAGTTCTGCTCCTATTATCTGTCCATCCATTTGCCATAAGTGTACAACCTGTTTCCTTCCAAGTTTGTCTATAACTATCAATGAGTAGCCTGCATTCTTCCTTGCAATCCCTAAGTAAGTTGACTCTCATGTTATGATAACTGGGGAGCTTGTAACCAGGACCTATTGCAGTAATAGCATCAACAGCTTTCTGGGCATATACTAAAGTAAGAGCATTAAAGGGGATACAACAATCAAAAAACCACATTGCTAATGCCATATCTACACGGTGCACTACTTCCTTAGATGCTAAAGCACTCTTAATTGAAGGTTGGGAACCTCGTGTAGTTCTAGGAGCAAAGAAGATATCCATATCAGAAGCTTTTCTTTTTTCCTTTACTAAGTTCTGAAACATGTGCTTTAGAAGATTGTGTTTTTGGTTGCGAGCAAGAATCTCTCTCTTCATCTATAGCATCATCCACAGGAAATGGTGCACTGTCCAACTCTTCCTGTGCTTGTTGTTTTTTTCTTAAAATTTCCTTCAAGTTTTCCTGCATTTGATATCTAATATCATGTGGAACCTTTTTGCAAGCAGCTATATTCCCCTTCACACCTGCTAAATGTTGTTTCATTCTATTAATTCCTCCCCCCTTGTATGAAATACCACAATGTAAACATTTAAACTGTTTCTTCCCATCAGCTCCTTTAACTTCAGCAAAATGATTCCAAGCAATGTCTACTTTCTCCCGCACAGTATAAGTTGAAGCTGAAGTTTGATTACTAGGTGTTTCCATCCTAATTTAGTTTAAAATCACATACACATAAGTTAAAATCAATAAATCCTCAAATTATATCATATGCATCATTTAAAAAATTACAAATACATAAAAAATTTGCAGTCTACATATCTCTTTCACATTCAGTTTAAGATATTTTCAATAGAAAGTGAATCACTATATTGACTTTAATAAAAAACAACAAGGTAGAAAACTAAGCAATGTAGAAAAGTAAGCAATTTAAAAAGTTATAAAACTGAAACGAAACATAATGCATACCTCAATCCGCCGTAGAGATGAATTGTACTATTGCCTAAAGTCTCCAACCATTTACGAACTATAGATGATTTCCCCAAAGAAAATTCAAGTAACTAGATTGAATGAAAGCACAATTAATTAGATTACAATTCAACACTTAGATAACATCATGATCTAAGTGGAAAGAAATTCAAGTAACTAGAATTATAAAACAGTTTTAAGCTCAAATGTAACATGAAACAAAAAATGTAAGCATCACTTTTCAGCAACTTATTAAAAAATCCATCTATCTATGAATTCTTAACTTAGTACTAGAATTCATAGTGTCGAAATTTCATGTACCTAATGAAGCACTAGAATTTGTTTTGAGGAAGACAATTAGACAAACCAAAAACCGGTTACAATTTATTCAGTTAGTACATTTCAATCACCAATAGCTATTGGAAACAAATGATTTCATTATGTGGTAAAGGAGAAACATTTATGAACAGAAAAAGAAACCAATGCAAACTAGACCGAAATCCTACATTAAACAAATAGTGATTTCATTCCTGCTTCTATATCTCTGCTTGGGCTCCAGGACAACATTAATCAAACTGCTTAAAATCTCATTAATCAGATCAACAAAAATTAGCCTTTCAATCTCTAAAACTACAACAGGAATTTCACTGTCAAACTGTCCCAAACATTCGATCGTTGGATAAAATCCTTAGTAAACACTGTGTCCTTACCTTGAAAGCTTCCATCAACATAACTCCGAAGATATTTTACCTCGAAGCAAAGTTCTTTCGGAAAACATCAGGCCACATTCACGAAGCTAAAATCAACATGGTTTAAAAAAAAAAAATTCGGAATCTATACAAACCTAAACGACTGAAGACGTTTAGAATCGGGAAAACAATTCTAAAAACCTGAGAAAGGCATAAAACAACATGTTTTCTGATTTTTTCAAAAAAAAAAAAAATTTCAGAATCGGAAAGACTGAAACAAACCTAAACGGGTAACGATTGAAGGAGGTAATGCCCTAATGCTCGGTCCTTTTCACTTCGTGAATGAGATGGCTTGCAGGAAAATACTTTTGCTTTCTTACTTCGCGAATGAGCAGCATGGAAATGCGAAATGGTGTGGCTTCGACGCTTCGGAGCTTCGCACGCCGTCGGGGAAGGAGAACGAGAAAGAACGAGCAACGAGGTTTTTTTTTTATTTTTTTCCCTCTAAAGTCGTATAAGCTCCCTCTCCCATAAATCTGGCCGTTGGATTTTGCTGATCATCCGTCTTAGCCAAACCGGCCGGTTATCAAAAACCGGCGCCGGTTCGACGGTTCGGCGGTCGAACCGCCGGTTCGAGCGGTTTGATCACGGTTTGGTGCAGGACCGGTTTCTATTTGAACCGTAACCGGCCGGCCGGCCGGTTCGGGGTCCAACCGGTTGAACCGGCCAGTCCGGTCCGGTTTTAAAAGCATTGATAAAAACTATACAAGTTGCAAGAATGTAAAACATGCAAATAGCAACTCTCTTAACAATCTCTGTCTTTTTTGATGATGGCAAAACAATTATTATTTGTATAATTTCAAATTCTAAGAAACTCCTAAACTCCCCCTGAAATGATGAATATATGAAAATAAGGAGGCAATTGAACTAATTTTTTTATTTATAAAAAATTTTATACAAGACAAAAATAATCACAAAAAAAAATAAACATAAACACACAATACGAAAATATACAATAAAACAAATAAAAAATACAAAAATACATAAGAAACAATAAACAATTTCTCCTCTTTTTTGATAACATCAAAAAGTGAAGAAGAAAAAGACTAGAAATGTAAGCAGACATATGAAAATCATTTGAAAATTTAACCTTTAAATTGATTGACATAAAGTATACAAATAAAATTAAAATATTAGACAAATCATAAAATTCATAGAATTTAAGAAGAGATATAACATAGAAATTAAAAAGAATTTATCAAAATATGAGTCTATTTAGACATTTAAGATAGAGAAAATCATTGTAATAATGATGATATTTTATGTTGCAGTTCAAAGTATAACACTTGTAAGATAAAAAATTTAAGGGATTTTCATATAGGCTAACGAATATTTCAAACACAGAACAAAAACACTTAAACATTCAAAAAATCTAAAGCAATAAAAAGTATGGAAAAATACTAAACAAAACACAAGTACACAAACAATAAAATCTTCATATCACATTCCAAATGTCTCACAAAAAGATTCATTCTAAATATTGAATGACACGAAGTTTGTACATACAAACTTTGGGTTTTATACGTATGATCAGTTATAAAAACTAAATCTACCCGTATAACCATTTATATGCATATAGAAGAAGTAATACAAATCGTCCAGGACGATCAGGAGATCATACAGTACGATATATATTAAAAAAATTAAACATTATGCAATCAGTCAAAACCAATTATCAATTTGCTACAGAATCCGTACAGTACGAAAATATTTTCATCCAGTACGAATAGAATACTTAGAAAAATTTGCACGATCTATCTAAAACATGAAATCAGATGTGAAAATATTTCAAAATCATACAAAACACTAATAAATAAAAATAAAAAAACACACAAAAGAAACAAAAATAAAAAAACATGCACACAAAAGTACATAAACAAAGGGTTTAAACGTCATTTTGCTCATGGTCTGATGATTCAGAAGCTAGATCTGCCCAGAAATTTTTTTGCTTTTCATTATTATCCCTTTTTTATAATTTACTTAGCTTTACCTTTTTCTTTACTAGGAAGAGTTCTCAAATTAGGAGACTGACTTTTCAGATGTCCAAATTTCCTACATCCAAAGCAAATAATATTTAAAGAAATCTGAACATTCTTACCATTTTTATCTTTATTCCACTTTTGTTGATGCTTATGCTTGTGCTTTAGTGGACTTTTCAATTTGCTTGTTAAGTCATCGTTTTCCTCACCAACTAAGCCACTTTTCTCCATGTCTTCAGCTTTTAGCATTATTGTTTCACCTGCATCCAAA